GGTTATTTGCTCTATACTCCAGTAGCTATGCTTCATCTGGTTAACCTCTGAATTATTGCTTAGCAGAACCTGATTCTGTGTAAAACTCTACAAAGATTCAACAAACATCTTCATAAAGATGATAGCTGATGAAGGTCAACAGCATTAGGACTTTCAGCTTTGTGGTCACATTCCTGAATCTCCCACTCAGTCTGATCAGTAAACTCTGGGTCGGGTCAGAGCTTTGATGAGCTGGACCTGTGGTGTCAGATCAGGTGTTCTCTGAAACCTGTGTGCTGACTAATAAAACCTCAGAAATGACAGAAGGTGGCAAAAAATTTTATATGTAACATTTTAGGAGCAGCTAAAGGAGCTTAAGGCTACATGTTGAACTGGAATATAATGTGCTGCATATATTCATAATTAAAATGTTGCTTATTTGATTTATGTTGAGTTGTTTGTATTAAATTGATGTCAAAGAGGGACCAGGTTGGTTTTCTAGGGAATGTGAAGTGGAGCTATCACATAATGTCTGTGTGATTATGATCTGGTTCTGGTTGCCCCTCCTCTACCTCTGAGCCGGTCCAACCGAGCTGCGCTGCCATCTGGAGCTCAGTATTTGCCAAAGAAGCAGAGAGTTTCCTCTCAGCTTTATTCGCTGTCAGTTTTGACCAATCTGCTGCAAAACAACTCCATAAACGATCTGATATCACACATTTTAATCTTTAGAGCTCAACTCACAAACATTTATTTGCTAGTATAAATTGGTACCGAATGTTTGCATTAGCTACATAAAAAATTTATTTATTGAGATGGACGATAACAGCAGCAGAGATTCTGGATGTTGTTCATCTATATTTAAAGATTTTTCTCTATGAAGTTAATTTTACAGTGTAACCTCTGATTTCATGTAAAAGCATCTTCAATTAAAGGAAATGACTGAAACCTGTCCAGCAGTTGGTCTCAGATCCAGATCGTCGGTTAATTATAGCTGCAGTACCATGTGTGTTCTCGCTGCTGATTGGCTGAGAGCCTGCAGGTCGTGATTCTGCCCTGCTAACCCGTTTCTGAGCCAGAAGAAAGTCCAGCCTGCTGAATGTTAACAGCAGGAAGCTGAGGAGATGCAGCTGGAGGAAAACTACAGCTAAACTGTTGTTACCTGCAGCTACAGGTTGGAACTTACTGCTGTTTACAACTTATTGCTTTATTTTGAGCCATATAACAGAAAATATGCTTTTAATTCCCTTTAATAGGTAAATAAAGACCAAAGCCATACATCCAGATTTACACAAATATACAGTAATTTATATAAAGTAAGAACAAGACATTTTCTAATTAATCCAATTAATGTTTTGTATAATAATAATATATTTAGAAAAAACAGTAATGCTATTTATTCCCACTCCCTGTTCATATATAAATTGTATGATTGTGACTGTAATCTGAGATTTATGAGATTTATGCATTTTCTTGTTAATATCACTGATGCCACTCATAACATAATCAGCAAATTAATGTTTAATTATATATTATGCATAATTTATTAAGTATATAACATAATATAATACATTATGTATACTTTTCAATTAAGAATACATTTATATTTAGTAATTCTGTTAAGATATTGGTACATACATTGAAAAAGCAAGGTGTTATGGGAACTTCCGAATAGAGGGATTTTTATGCTCTGCATTAAATATTTTGGTAAATCCACCATCAGAAGAAGGAAACCTTATGTCTTTGTGTTTCTGTGTCTTCATTTGTTCAATTATCATCAACCTCTGGTCTCGTCAGCTGACATTTCATTGTTAATCACACAATGTTCTTCTGCAGGGCTGTTAAATCATTCAGAGTCAGAATAACACCAGAAGTCAGTAAGTGGTGAATCAGAGACGACTGAGGACAAAACTGGACTCCAACTCCTTTCTGAAAAGAAATGACTGGATCCACTTGATTCTTAGGGACTGAAATCTTTATGAAATTCAACCTTTTGCACTTAAATCTGATTATTTTCTGGACCAAAAGCATCAGATGGCTTTAAATAGATTATCTCTGGTAAAGATGATGCCTGTTTTTTGGGTTTGTCTTCTGAAAAATCCATCCCATCATGGCTTATAGTCCCGTTTCCTGACTCTGGTTCTGGTTCTGCTGGAGGTTGTTTCCTGTTAGAAAGGACTAAATTCTCTCATTCACATGCTTCCTCAGGAGAAAAGATGTCTTTGTGCAACTAATCAACCCTCCTTTAATAACATTTTACCTGTTAACATTAAGAGATTGTCTAAAGTTGACTGGATGTAAAATTAACTGGGAATCAATGAATCAAGTCTATTTGTTTAGCACATTTTTGCAACATGTCAGTTTAAAATGCTTTAAAACAAAAGATCATCAAAATTACATGAAATATTTTGGTCAGTGTTGCAGTGATTATGAGTTGAAAGCAAATCTAAACAGGTGGGTTTTTAGCCTTGATTTAAGGGAACTCAGTGTTAAAAAGGTGAAAACACATTTTGTTTCATATGTTGAAGTGATTTAGACTGATTTTGGTGATTTTGCACCCCTGTGGCGGTACCAGATTGTTCTGGTGAATCTGATCTGTATCTTCCTCCTCTGCTTGCGGCTGTGTGGGCTCAGCTGAACCGGATCCAGTTCTAAAACAGAACGCTGTCCAGGAGGACCTGGAGGTTGATGAGTGTGGATATGAGTCAACAAGCTGCAGAACCTCCTTCTGATCTGGTTCATTCGGAGTCTGATGGCTGGTGTGGGTGAAACAGACAGAAATGTCAAACCCTCTCAGATGAGCTGAATTGCCTGATGGTAGCTTCATCCTAGACTTAAATATTTTGAATCTCGTTGACCTGAATGTTAACTGAAGCTTTATTTTTTATTATCACTAATGTGTCATTTTCAGAACAGCTTAAAGATTTTATTTAAAACACCTTTAAAGCATTAAGATGAAGAAAAATGATGTGGAGAACTCACAAGAACAGTGTTTTAACTTAATCCTTCTGTCCCACCAATATCAGTTCTTTGTTTTTCAGCAGCACATATTGAAAGATGGAAAATATTTTTTGTTTCATTTGGTCTTTTTTTTTTTACTTCATTCCTCTATATTGAAACAAGATGTGTAACAAGTTTATCGGCGTTTTACACACTGTAATCTGACACAAACTGTTCTCTTTGCTTCAGACAAAACCACAGACCAAGACAATGACTCAGTTTTCTGCCAAAACCTTGGTTTTCTGCATGCATTGTCTAAATCTTATCTGCATTATTTTTCTTTTGCAGGACCTTTACTGGTAGAATGAACACAAGGCGTGGTTAATAATGAGGTTAGTCTTTGTAATTAATCTAATCCTTAGAATTTGTTTTAATATTTAAGGTTTAATGTTTATTGTTTACTTGCTTGCATATTCTGAGGCTGCATCCAGATGTAAAACATAAAAGCATCAGAGCCTGACGTCATTTAACTGAACCTGAACAGTAGCTCTTAATATAGTGATAGCTAACTTTTTATCAGATGAAGTTCAAACCAAACTGGTTAATCTGTGGCAATGAAAGACCTACAAATGTAGAGGAACACATTGTGACCAAACCCTGGCAGCAGAAGGTTTTTAGAGACATAATGAGGTTTTATGCACATCAACTGAGATACAAACAAACTTTGTGACCTGTGTGTGGTCAGCGGCCTGAAAGAAAAATCAAACATTTATGATTCAGACTGACAAATCCGGAGGCACACGTACAAAGTTAAGCCTACATATTTTAAAGTTATTTAAAGCCAATGGAATCATATTTCTACTTCTGCTGGGATGGAAAACATTTCATAGATCACACTCAATAGATGTGAGTCACTGAATCAAGAAAGTGAAACTTTCATACTGTTTATCATTTATTTTTTTCTTAGAATGATTGAGTAGTTATGTTCATTTTGATGGTTATCATAATTTATCAGAATATTAGAACAATAAAACCAATAAAAAGGGATTTTTAAAGCACTACTGAAAATTATGTCCATGAACTGTGCAGTATGTGAGCTCAGTACTTTAGTGTGGCCTCCTTCTACATGAATTACTGCATCAGTGCAGCATGGCATGGATGCAATCACTCTGTTTCTCCACTGAGGTGTGACACAAGCTCAGTTTGCTTTCATGGCTTTTAGCTCATCTGGATCGTTGGCTCTGGTTTTCTCCTCTCTTGACAACAGAACATAGATTTGTGATAGGATCGTAGGTTAGGACAGACCAATCTTCCAGAAACATGACAGAAATTGTTCGTGTTTTCCTTTACTGTTGAAGATCTTATTCTGTCTTGTTCTTCATTCACGCATTACTGTCATTCCCTGCAGTGCATATATTTGTTTTAATATCCTGCTGTATTGTTGAATAATATGATAAAATTGTCACTCAGGGAATAAATGGTGTTTTTTGGATTTGTATTCCCGTCCTGTTTGTCTGCTTTCACGTTGTAATATTAAACCAGAGCTTCACAATAACTCCATAATTACAGCCCTTGTTGTGTGAAGATCATTAAACCCATTTTGCACTGTTAGACTTTTAAGTTCTCACTGTTGGCCCCTGTGTTGTTGCAGGGTCATTAAAATTCTTATTTATTATCCATAAATGCATAATTGAGCTATTGATTTTCCAGAAATGTATTTATGCTGAGTCTCAAACAACGTTTTATTGTTGATTAATGTATTAATTATAATATTTGCTGATCTGATGCTGCAGCTGAATGTTTGGTTTTGGACTTTTAGACTGATAAATATCCATCACCTGCTGCAGATAATTTATCAACTATAACTGCAGGGTTAGCACTGTGTGTAAGAGAGAGAGAGCATCTTATGGTTCAATGCATGTGTACGTGTGGCTCATGCTTCCAGTGTGTGTGGGTGCAGGAAGGCGGAGGTGGATCTGGGGGGCGGGGCCTGGATCAGCTCCATCCCACCTCGGGAACACCAACCAGGTGCAGCGGCTCCTTCCTCCTCCTCCTCCTCCCGGAGCTCGGTGGCTCTGAGCGCGGTGCAGAGACGGAAGAAGCCGCAGTGTGGAGCAGGGATGAGGGTGTGCTGATGCGAGCGGTCCGCTGTGTCTCTGTGGGCCGGCCGGATACCAGACTGCAGCCTCCTGCGGCCGCAGAGCTCCGTGTCCCTCGCGGATCCCGAAAGCGCTGTCCGGATGGCTGGACACCGCTGGGAGGACTGGTTCGAGCGGGAGGAGTTTATCGGACAGATCAGCGACATCCGAGTGCAGAACCTGCAAGGTAGGAGGATCTGGGTCGGTACCAGGACAGTGGAAAGCGTGCATGGGGAAGTTTAGTTCAGGATGGAGCAGGGGGACCAAACAAGAGGAGCTCCAGGAGCCTCCTCCTCCTCCCGAGGAGCGCGCAGCTCCCCGTGCACCGTGCGTGACAAAGTTTGGAGGTTCGGCCCAGTGATGGAGGAGTTCTGGTCATTCTTACAGACTGACCTTCCTTCCCCCGCGGGCCCAGATCAGAGAACCAGGCCGGGACCAGGGCCAACATAAACCACCAGGGTCCCACAACAATAATCCGCTGCACGTGACCTGCTTACTAATTTATAAGCTATAGATCGATATGCGACCACCAGTGTGGACTGAAGGTATCCTTCCGCAGCGCATGGGCGGAGGGACTATATTTACATCAGGTTTAGTTTTAGAAAAATAAAATAAAAGCTCAGCAAACAAAAATAATTCAATATTTATAATAAAATAATAATTTAACAGTTAAAGAAGCAGCAGAAGCTGGAATATATAAAATTAAACATCATTATTCATATTCATTTTAAAAATAATGTTATGTAATTGACCAAACAGGTTAATACTTTTGTAAAATGTATTTATTATAGTATACTGCTAAAAAAAAATAAAGGGAACACTCAAACAACACAATATAACTCCAAGTAAATCAAACTGTCCACTTAGAAAGCAACACTGATTGACAATCAATATCACCTGCTGTTGTGCAAATGGAATAGACAACAGGTGGAAATTATTTTCATATTTATTTCATTCATTCAGATTGTTATTTGACTGTTCCCTTCATTTTTTTGAGCAGTGTATTTTTGCTAAAATCTTATTTATATCAGAGTAAGTATTTAATCTATGCCTCATTAATTTAATAAACAATGAGGTTCCTTCAAAATAAAGCTGTGGTGCTTTCGGTGTAAAATATTTGTCTGGTGATCTGATTTTCAGAGACTTTATATTTCGGTGCTCAGGGTTCACAGCTGTCAGGTGCAGCTGACAGGTTTGTTTCTGGCTCACTGAATGACTGAACCGCCTTGTTTTTGTCACAGCGGTTAAAGCAGCTCAACAAACACAAACTGATTTGAATCTTTAATTGGAATCCAGGTTTATCTCGACTACAAATAAATCCTGATAATTTTAGACGTGTTCAACCTGCAGAGACTCCATCCTGAGTTAGGAGGGGGGAAAACCTCAGGAATCTGATTTCTTTATTAAAAAATAACACTCCAACGTTGGCAGGGATGAAGTTTGCTTCAGAGAAAACACAACGTGCTTTGATGAGGGTTACGCTGAGCAACTGTTGCTGTGGAAACATACAAACTGAGCTTTCACACAGTCCTGAATCATAGAAAGTTGGATCGTCTTAGAGAACAATCTGGAGTCAGACGGCATAACAAAGAGCTTTCTTTGATCCGCTGTCTTGTTTGTGGACCTTACTTTAGCCATGCCGCTTGTTGAAGGCTGGAGTTGCACCCAACACCTCCTCAAAGTTCAAACTGTGCAGAAAATCTGCAGAACAAACATGAAGAACATGTTTGGTGAGTTTCTGTCTCTCCAAAATAAGACTCCTTATTTTTTCTATCAAAAACTGTTTTTTTTATTTTTTATCTCTGTGTAGGTCATAATGTCCTATTTGCTGCAATCTAGTGTCAGCCAATTGATATTACATCATTTTGCATAATTTGGAATTTGGCCAATTTCCTAATTAAGGGTTTCTCATTCATAAATCTTCCTATTTTAGTCGTCAGAACTAAAAAAAAAAAAAAAAAAAAAACAGTAGGAAATTCAGGCTGAAACATCAGCTTTAAAAATTATTGAATTTGAAACTAAATCAGCTGAAGAGTGTCCAATTTATATAACTTATAGATATTGTCTGCACTGCTATGCCTGCTGTTCTTTCATGCTGGATCACCAGAGAGCAAAGTATGAAACACAAGAATAAAAAAAAAAATCTGAGTTGTGAGATCTGGATGTAGCAGCCTGATAACGCAGCAGAAAACCACATTTAACATTTCAATAATGTTACAATCATAAAGCTCTGTGTACCTTACAGGATTGTGATCCTATGTAGTTCTATAAAGATACGGAATAATTAGAGTGGACCTAATTGGTTGACTTACTGGTTTCAGTGGATTTTACTGTAAGGTGTCTCAACTTTTTGACTTTCTTCTAAAATATTTTTACATAAAATATTTTACATTCACATAAAATTTGAATAAAATGTTTTGAAGTTTGTGTTTGTAGCATGACAAAAAGGAAAAGCGCAGTCAAGGTGTGCAAAGACTTTTTGTCAGGTGTGTAATATCTGACATATCTAGTCAGATTTAGCTGCAAGTCCAACATCTGTATTATATGACCAAAGCTGTTCTTCTGAGCCGAACTCGCTCTGCGTCATCCGTTAATCAGCCAGCAGATCCTGTGTTTATTGTGCCGCAACTCTTCAGTAGTCCAGTCAGTGTTCAGTCTGTTGTTCATCTCCTGGTTTATTCAGCACCCGCAGAATAAAGATCACGTCCCAGTAGTTATGAACAAAGACTTTTCCAATATCTTATTAAAATCCAGATTACTTCCAGACATTATGTTGTGTGGGTGTTACTTCATAAATAAAGAACCAGAGTGTACCTTTACAATGCTTTAAATGTGGATTTGATTCTTTGTGCAGGTTCTCTAACAAAGCTTTAGTTTTTCTGCAGTATTGGGTTATTGACTGGTTGACGGTGCAGGAATCTGTATATTGATCTCATCACTTGTGTTTTCTCTGCACAGTGATGTGTTAAACAACACCATGAAGCGACGAAGCGACACCTTTTATTGGTCAGTACTGTTAGGTTATGACTGTATATAATTTTTATAGCGTCAACCTGTAAATTGAGGGTTTGACTGGTTACTCATTATCTGGTGAAAACCTGGATCTGGTTTGATGGCTTGGTTGGTTTCATCAAGTGCTGAAGTAAATAGATGCTGCAGTTTGTTTCAGGTTGAGCTTTGGATGTGTCAGCCCTGTTTGTAATCAGTGTTTTTCAATGGAAAGGCATCAGATTCCAGGCCCGTTTGATCCAAACATCCCTGATCTGTTCCTGCAAACTCGGGTTTTGACGACTCCAGTCACTGCAGCTCTGTGGGCTGAAGCATCTGATGAGTGGAAGCAGTGAGAACACTGACCGGGGGATTGTTGCATAACACAACGAGTCGAGGAAAAGATCAGAGCTGAACACATCACACATCCCACACAGATCTGCCTCCCACCTCCGAAGCTGCAGGAACCGGAGGAGCGATCAGTATCCAAACCGAGGCTCACACTGCGTAATATTCAGATAAGAACTATCAGGAGAAACGTTTGTACATTATAACATTTTTTCATCAAGATTTTAGAGCCATTCATGAATAATTTGATGCGTACAGCTTCACCTTGTTTTGCTTGGAGATTATTATCTAGGAGAAAAAATAACTACAAGTTTCCAGTCTGCAACTAATCACAGGGATAAACAGCGTTGTTTTTTCCTTTTAAGCAGGCAGTTAAAGTGTGGATCTCATACCAGCTACTTGCTGCCTCGTTTCTCTGTGAGCTAAGCGATGGTGTATGAAACCGCTTTAATGACTGCCTGATGCTAATTACTTAGGTAGGAGGAAACAATACTGAAATAAAAACGCAAAACATAATTAGAAAGGAAACCCAAAACATGATGCAATGGATGTGGACAGTGGAGCGTGAGCAGACTGTGGCTTCTGAGCGCGTTGCTCCTCATGTTTCTGCTGAACTTCATGAACTCAGACTGGTTTGATTTTTTTTCTTTGTCTGATACTGATCTGTATCTTTTGACCTGTTTTTGTTATTACTTTTATCAGTACAGTGAATCTGATCCATGAGTTCAGTTGCGTGTTAATTTTCAAGTCATCTCTAAGTGACTTATTGTCTGTATTGTGTTTAAAGTTTAGTGTCACTATAGCATGGATGCCATTACATTTTGTTCCTTTAAAAATTGTTTTTTTTTGCTTTATTTATGTAGATGAGTTGTTGCATTGTTGTCAAAAAGGATATATCACACTGTTTCGTAAAGAATTTGTCAAAGTAATTCTTGAGAAGTTATTCTGTCAGATTCTTGCATTGTCTCCTTAGAGGAGTTGTCACTATTGTATGTTTCATTTTCTTTTGAGAAGTTGGTGTAATACTTTATAAAACAGGATGTTGAAATGTTTTCTATTTTTTTAAACTTTGATACATTATTTTTTTAAAAAGATAGATTTTCAGCATTGAGGCGTTCTTACATTGCTTGTTTAGTTCTTTAGAGACTGTAATTGAAATGCCTTGCGGCTGAAATGTGCTATACAAATAAAATTTTATTTGCTTTTTGAATAAATAATTCACCGTCTAGAAAGGAGGGTTACAATGTAACAGTTATGTAAAAGCTTTGTTTGGAGAAGTTGTTACATAATTTTATTCCTACTGTAGAGAAGTTCTTACATTTTTAGAGGTGTTGTTACATTGTTACACTGCGTTCTTAGAGCAATTGTTACATTTTTAGTTTCTTCTTAAAGGATTTGCTACATTGTCCCCAGAAGAGTTATTATATATTTACATTGTATCATCAGAAGTTGTTACATCAGTTACACTATATCCATAGGGGGGATTATGTTACATTTTTATAGAAGTTTAGACATTGTGATAGTGTTTCCTTAGAGGAGTTGTTATGCTGCTTTTTCAGATACGTTTTTTAATTTGACATTGCCTCCTTAAATTGTTTATGCTTCATAAAAGGCTCTTTTTAGCTGAAATTTTCTCCTGTTTAGAAGAATTTCACTGATGGTGGTAAAAATAACCTTGAAGCAGAAGATCTCACACTCATTACTTCATCATCTGCTCCTCTTCCTCTCTGTAGAACGAACACTTCATTCAGATTTTGATTAACATTGTGCTGTTACGAGTCTCATTGCTATTTATCTTTGTTTGGATGAATAACAGTCATTTAAGACTGCACCAACCTTTGGATAAGTGCA